GTGTTTGTGGAAAGGTGTTCATTTTTTAAAACTTATTAGGATCCAATTACCCACCGTGTGAAATATATGCACATTTTTAGGCTAAAATTTGTATTTTTCATATTATAAAAAACATCATCAAAACTTATAATAAATAGAGTAACTGTAGTATAAATAGTTAGTATAACTATTAAGTAGATGCTAAGTTATACGTTGCAACCCTGGGTGACATTGTAACCAACAAACAAAACTCTTCACTAATGCAACAAAATACTTACATCTAATATTTGTAAATTCCACAGGTACTTGACTTTTTCTGTGTACTTTATATAATGTATGCAATCTGAGGGTACTCTGCAGTATTTCACTATATCTTAGGAACACAAAAGTGTTCCCTCCATCAAAATACTTTAATGCACGTGACAAACCCAAGGCCCGGGGGTCAAATGCGGCCCGCCAAGTGTTGTGTAGCCCATGAGAGCTTATGAAGAATTTAGTAAAGTTCATGCAGCAGTTTCTTAACCTAAGTAATCAAACTTTTTTTTTTATTACACAGCAATGAACAATATCTTTAAATAAAGTAAATGGATATGACTGGATTTTCTTTGAATGAAGTAAATTAGTAAGAAATTAAGTGTCCCACTGCCGCCTGGTACCAAATGACGTATGGACTGGTACTGGTCCGCGGACCGGGAGTTGGGGACCCCTGATCTGTACAGTCTTCCATTTACATTCTTCCCTTTAAGGGGAACTGTATTGCTGATGTGGCCCCTGGTGAAAACGACTTTGACCCCCTGCTTTAATGCAACATAGCCATGTTTTGCAGACTTTTCAGAGACCAGTGTTTTTCTCTGCTGATCACACTGACTACCTACTTAACTGTCATAGTTTACACAACTGTAGGAAACACCAGAACCTTTCCTCTGTGGGAGCTGGTGTTACTGGCTTTAAGAATAGTACAGAGTAACACAGTAAATTACCATACAGTATATATCTATAGGAAACACCCATCCAAAACTTTATAAGGAAACCATACTTATATTCTGTAATGTGTTTGAAACTTTGATTTCTGCTGTGTTCCGGCCACATCATCGATTCTCAGGATACCCTGCAGCTCTAGGTTTTCTGGTGTATTAGTGAGTCTGCATCCACTGCAGCCTCTTCTCATCTGATGGCCGTGGAAACCAGCATATTGGGATGCTTTTTAGCTTATCTCACTGGTAAATCATTTGCCAGAAGCTTTTGGTCAGCTTTAACTGATACAAGCACGATCTCCAACACTGGATGGCTGCTTCATGCATGGTTGCAAGTCTAACTCCATTCTGACGGCATGAGGCGAGATCTTTACATGCAGCTAATAAAAGTTAGCAACAAACGAGCAAGATTCCGTGGAGCTAAACAACAAGTACGACCACAGCAGTTATGCCATCCTTTCTTTCGTCCCATTTGTGATGTCACTGAACTCTGAGAGTGAAGTAAATAAGCAGGAATACTTCAGTTTTCACTGATATACTAAGCAGGTATATTCATATATACAAATTCCTTACATAGATAAAATGACAGTACAGTCCTGAGATAAACGTAGACAAATTGTATTTTGGCCTTGTGTTTCATCTCCC